TATATATTTATATTTATATTTTTGTCAACTTTTGGTTATTTATGCTTTTGTGTGCGAGCGCTCGTTATTTATTTGATAATTTTTGATTCATTTTTATTGGCGTTCGGGCGACATTGTGTCATTCCTCGATGCCTCGACTAAATAAATAGAATACAAGTCAAGTGATTTATTGCATTGGTCATAAAGCGGCGTTTGTATGCGCACATTATCTTATTTGAATCGGATATCTTTTACAATTGCTGGCAGCGGGTCTAGCACGCGCCTTAAATAGGCGCTGGAATTTCGGGGGAACTTTTGGTTCAGCTAACTGAGACTTTATGGGGGACTGAATCCCTATCTCCCCCTCTCTCTCTCTCTCTCTTTCTAGCTTTCCCAGGTTGTCCATAAAATATTATGATATTTGCATATGAGTGTGCAATTGCTCTGATAAGATCCACTTGAGCTGCGAGCATTAAACATTATGTATACGCCCAGTGGGTCGGGGACTTGAGTGAGTAAACTAATTATTTCATTTGTTGTTGTTGTTGTTACCGTAATCAGGTTTGGGTAAACATCGATTATTTAATACAATTAGTGTATTGGGGTATCAAAAAATAAAACCAAAAGCAAATACAACAGTTAGATTAGATAGCTATTGCTACTATAGGTAGCAGCAGCATAGGTATCGCAGCTCGACTTTGATTTCTATGACTTGTCATTTTGACATAATAAAGCAATAACAACAGCAGCAGCAAGCAAATTATGTTGTAGCCAATGCGAAATTCAGGCCAGAGAAAAGAAAAAAGTGAACAAGTTCTCGCGGATGGCCTGGCAAATGAATGGCCGGCACGTGTGGCCAAATGTTCGCAGCGGGCAAAACTAATAAAAAGAATGAAAGAAAAATAGCAACTGAAGGGAAATAGCAAACAGCACCAGCAAAAGCAGCAGCAACAACAACAACCACAACAACAACAACGAGAACTTAATGTATGCACGATGATTGTCGCCCGTTGAGATCTGTCGATTTTTCCATGTTTGTTTGGCGCATTTGCTTGTTTATTTGCACGTTGCGTATACGCAATGTGATTTCCTTTGAAGCAACGACCGCGACTTTCACGTCGAGGCTGCGCGCTGTCAACGTCTGATTGCTGCTGACAACTCAAGCAAATAGACAGCCATAGAGACAACTAACTACGGCAAGTGCTGGCATATGCAAAAATTGGTAAGCCCCATTGGCATCAAGGC